GGGAGAGAAAGGGGAATGGACACCAGGAGGAAGTCAGGAGCATGGACATAAAGTGAGGTGATAGGGCTTAGAAGGAAGCTCTGGGAGACACACTGAGCCCCCAGAGCTGTGAGCTTCACTTGTGCTACCCATAATACATTGAGCGAAGGCAGGCCTCCTACCTCCTGGAGCCCCAGAGAAATAGTGGGATCAAGCTGGCTGGAGGAGGTGGGCTGGAAGCAGGGAAGGTTGTTTAGGATTATAATACGATCGCATAGACTGAAAAGTGCTTTTATTTTTTACAGAAAAAATAAAGACCTTTAAGTCAGGTTTCTCAGGACTATTGACAGAACAAATGGGAATTTTCAGACTTACAAGGAGAGCAAGATGTTATAAGACAGCATAATATTAAGAATAAGGATGATTATATGGTGAAAAAAAGAATTATTATATGCTTTGTGAATTATATATCAATAAAAGTTTTTTTTGAAAGATCCTTTGGGATGCCTGCCAGCTCAGTTGGTAGAACATGTGACTCGATCTCGGGGTTGTGAGTTCGAGCCTCATGTTGCGTGTAGAGATTACTTAAACATAAAATCTTTAAAAAAATTTTTTTTTAAAGATTTTATTTATTTTTGGACAGCGAGAGAGACAGCGAGAGGGAACACAAGCAGGGGGAGTGGGAGAGGGAGAAGCAGGCTTCCCGCCGAGCAGGGAGCCCGATGCGGGGCTCGATCCCAGGACCCTGGGATCATGACCTGAGCTGAAGGCAGACGCTTAAAGACTGAGCCACCCAGACGCCCCTTAAAAATAAAATCTTAAAAAAAAAAAAAAAAGAATTATTATACCATGACTCCACTTGGATCGGTGGGACAGAGATTCCAAATTATCACTGAAACAGGGGTACCTGAGCGGAGCTCGGGGGGCTACAGCCATAAGTTCTAACCCTAAAGCCAGCATCCTGTAGGCATGGAGTGGTTTGGGGCAGGATATAATCTATATCCTGCTAATCTATAGTTTAGAACAGTGGATTTACTGCTCCTGAAAGGGAGGTGGCCACCCCTTCTCCTGCTTCAGCTGCCATGGCTGCCTAGCACAGAAGCACTCAGTAAGTGTTTGTTTTGTCTTAAAGATTTATTTGTCCATTTATTTAGAGAGAGAGAGCATGAGCAGGGGCAGAGGCAGAGAGAATCCCAAGCAGACTCCCCGCTGAGCAGGGAGCCCCACACAGGCCAATCCCTTGACCCTAATAAGATCATGACCTGAGCCGAAATCAAGAGTTGGACGCTTAACCGGCTGAACCACCAGGTGCCCCTCAATTAAGTGTTTTTAAATAGTCTGGGGCAGGTAAGTACCTCACACTTTCAGTCTTCAGGAGTCAGCAGGGACTCCTGCCTCTTGCCCTTCTGCTATTGGCACAGGTCCTTACCTCCTTGTGTGGGGAAAGTGTGCACTGTACTGCTGTCAATTCAAGCCCTTGGATCAAGATCGAGTTCTGACTCTGCGCAAAGTCCCGTGGGAGAAGCTGCCGGAGAAACGGGGCAATCAGACGTTGCTCTGCCCCTTGCGGAACTCACAATTTAATAAAAAGCAACATGCCAAGGCTTGAAGGATGCAAGATGCCTTAGGTAGCGTATACAGCAAAGTGCTTTAAAGCCACAGGGGGTCTGAGAGAGCAGAACTGTTTGGAAAGTGGGGAGAGATCAGGGAAGGCTTCATAGAGGTGAATTTCAGCTGAGCCTTGAAGGATGAAGAGGAAAGAACATTCAAAGCACAGATCCTTGGGACCCTCTCTCCTTGCCAATCTACAGACATCTGCCCGTGATCGCTCCAATTTTAGTATATGTGCTGCCGAAGTGAGCACTGCCCGTGATCATATGCACAGCCAGAGCCAGCCTTGCAATGACCTTGCAAGCAGGTGCTGTACATAGCCTCTTCTGTTGCAGGTGGGCCCTACTGTTCCCAAATTCCTCTCCTCTCCCAAAGAGTCTGATACCTGAAGTTTCATTAGTGCTTCCTCTCTTTAGCTTTAGGCTTTGATCTCCTCGGGTTTGTAATCCAGGAGGGAGGCAAACACTGGTCAGTTATCAGGCATTTGTCCTACTGCATCAGTTACTACAGCAGATGCCCTCCTGAGGCAGGTTTCATTCGGATGGGAGGGGCCTGATAGCATCAATGGGCATCTGGCTGGGGATGACGTGGTGGGGAAAAGGGGACAAAGAAAAGTGTAGCTGGGAGGTCTGACAAGGAACTACCTCTACCTCATGGCTCTGCCCAGCCAGGCTGTGCACGGCTGTGCTCCTTCATTCTCCAGACCTCCTCCCTCCTCTTCCCTCCCTCCAAAGAGACAGTCAGAAAACCTCAAAGACACCTTATGATGTCCCATCAATTCCCAGTGTACTGCCTGGGTCCAGAAGATTGAGGACAGAGGCATCGGCTGGCAGCCCTAAAGCTCCTGTGTTTTTGTTTTTTTTTTTTAAAGATTTTATTTATTTATTTGAGACAGAGAGAATGAGAGAGAGTGCACATGAGAGGGGGGAGAGTCAGAGGAAGAAGCAGACTCCCTGCTGAGCAGGGAGCCCGATGTGGGACTCGATCCAGGGACTCCAGGATCATGACCTGAGCTGAAGGCAGTCGCCCAACCAACTGAGCCACCCAGGCGCCCCAAGCTCCTGTGTTTTTGTACTGGCTCAGCTCCAGCTAAGATGCTTGTTGGTGGTCAGATAGACACGTGTCTTTGTCTGGACCTGGGCTTTCCTATTTGTAGAATGAGTGGATCTCTGCCTTCACCTCCCTTCCTCTGAATCGGCTATGGGGGAAAGAGCACCAGACTTGTGTTCTGATCTCAGTTGTCTTCACTAGCTGTGGCAGTCTGGAGAACTCACTTAATCTCCCCAAACCTCTGTTTTGCAATAATGCCCACCCCCCCCCAAGTTTTTGTGAGCATCAAATAAGATAGCATGTGCTGAAATGCTTACTTAACTAGCTCAGGAAGTAAACACGAGTTAACTGAAAGGGTCATTTGAAAGAAAAGTTCCAGATGGCAAAAGATTTTGCATATCTCACATCTTCCACTGCCTCTAGCACAGTGTTGGGGGCACAGGACAGAAAGTCAGTAAACACAGGTCAAACTGAACTGAAGACGCATATGGAGAGTTATTAAATGAGCTCACCGGTATCCTGGATGACTTCTTTCTCGGGTAATAGACAAGAAATGGTGCATAGATATGCTGGCCCCTAAATGCAGTGCCGTGTGGCGTGGAGAAAAGCGAGCTGGGGATCTTCTAACTTCTAACTTCTGATTCTCCCCTCCCCTCCCCTCCTCCCTCCGCACCCCCCTCTCGCCCCCCACCACGAGCCGAGCGTTCTCGGACCAGTCACTTCCCCCAGCTGCATGTTGGGGCGCGTCCTGCAGGCGGCGCTCTCCCATCATCTCAGCCTCGGCTGGGGCAGGGAGCGAGGGGGAGAAGGGAAGTGTGGAGGAAAAACAGCCCCACGCGCCGCTCACATATTTACATCTGAACTGTCAAAATAGTTATTTTTAAGTCGAGTTCCGTCTGCTGCGGGCTGGGAAGCGGCCGGGACGGGGGCGGGGGCGCCCCGCGGCGGCGCGAGGGGGCGGGCGGCGGGGCCGAGCGCGCGTGCGCGCGGCGGCGGCGGCGGGGCCATCTGTCCCCGCCAAGGGGCCGGGGGGGAGGTGGGGGGTGTCCGGGCCGCGGAGCGCGCGAGCGGGGTGCCTGCGCCCCCGGCGGCCGCCCCTTCGCTCGCGGCTACGCGGTCCCCGGCTCGAGGGGGAACGCGCGGCCCATCCCAGCCAAGATGGAGCTCTGTGCACTTCTGTCCGCTGGAAAGGAGCTGCCACGACTGTGGTTCTCCACGCGCCCGGTCCCTGATCGCCCTCAGTCTGCAAGTTCTTCTCCTTAGCCCGTCTCCGTAGCTCTTAGCTGCACCGTGGGCCCATTCCAGATCCAGGTCCGATTTTGAGGGCCAGCCCCCCACCCACACACAGCCATCCCCACCATCAGCCCTTCCCAGGAGAGAAGGAGTTGAAGGATTTTTCGGGAGCTGGTCAGCGTTGGGGGGGGTGCCTGAAGATAAGGACCCTCGGGTGTGCAGGCAGTGGTGAGAACGACTTAGCCCTAAATGTCCGGAGTGGCAAGCATTAATTTTTCTCGGCAAAGTGAGGGGCCTGCGGGTTTGACACTGATGACACTTCTTTCTGGCTCTTTCGCTTGCTCTCTCAGGGGCAGTAGGATTTGAGACAGACGCTGGCTGGCCCTGCTGCCATCAATATGTGTCCCAGCCCTGTCCAATGTCTGCCCTGTAATGAGTAGTGTTTCGGAATGTCACCTCTGTTAATGGGGAAGCGGCACCTGTGCACAGCCAGAACCACCTCTCTGTCTTCATTAGGCAGTCCGCAGCCTGGCTGCCGGGGGCTCTCGCTGGGTGACAGATGATGGGGATGAGGAGGGAGAGTAGCAGCCTCCTGCTGTCCAGGATTCATTCCCAGACAATGACTCTGAATGCCCATCCCTGCCCTCCCCTCCCCCCAATAGACAGCTGGGGGAAAAAATGCCCTTCTAGGGCAAAATGCAAGGACTGATGAAAATCAGGTGAAGGAGAGTTGGAGGTGTCATTTCCAGAAACAGACACCTGCCTAGCCACCGTGGTCTCCTGTCTAGACTGCGTTTTGGGGCATCCTCCTCCCTACCCCAGCTGTCTTCACGGGCCATCTTTTATGTCCCTGCTAATTTGTGCGCCATGCAAAAGTCACAGGACTGAAATTCTAATGCTAGGCTTCCCTCTAGCTGGACCTGCATATTGCTTCCCAGCCAAATCCTGCTCCTTTTGAATCTCAGCCATCATAACCACCTGAGACAGGGGACATTGAGATAAGCCAAGCCCCAACATGGCATGAGACACAGACATGACTTCAGAGGACCCCTGCTATGATGATAAAAGCATCACCATGGAGACCATATTCCTCTGATTCAGCTTAATGTTCCCACCCTCCCCCAGAGGCTGTGGCATCTCCTTCATCTCCTCCACTGCCCAAGCAAATTAAGCTGGACGCAGAAGCATCCTTCCATACTCTCTATGTAATCTCTATGTGATTGGAAGTGGAGGTAGGTTAGTACCAACTTTGGAGGGTTAGGGGTAACAGTGGTGACATTTGGAATTTCCTGAGGCAACTGTCTGATCCAGAAGCTGCATAGATAGGTGGTTTCTTGACTGGAGCTGGTGGTAGGAGTGGCTTCACTTTGCCAGGCCCTCACTTTGAAAAGCTGTGAGGGGGCTCCCTGGGGGTCTGAGCTCCGCCCATTACCCCTCTTCTCTGTCTCAGTAAAGGGCACCCTTGTCCACCTAGATATTCGAGCCAGAAATCATCCTTTCATTCAAGCTGGAGAGTCGTTCTTGACACCCCCACTCTCCACCCTACATTCGAATCATCACCAAATCCTGTTGGTTCTCCCTCCTAAATCTCCCCCAAATATACTTACCTGTACCTCCACCGCCGCCACCTCAGTCCGGGCCATCACCCCTTCTTGCCTTGCCTCTCTGGTCTCATCTCTCCCATGCTCTCGCTGATGTTGTTGCAGCCACCTGGCTTTCTTGTTCCGGGCACACGAGCATGACCCTCCCTGACCACTGAATCTGAATTAGCCCCCTGCCCCCCCAAGTCCTTCTCTGTCACATCAGACTGTCTCATTGTCACACTCTGAAATGTTCACTTCATTTGCTTATTTGTCTGTTTTCCCCTCCTAGGACATGAGCTCTAGGAGGGCAGGAACACCATTACTTTATTTACCCTTAAATTCACAGCATGAAGAACAGTGTCAGGCACGTGGCAGAACTCAGGAATTATTTGTTGAATGAATGAGTGAATGGTTGGTTGGTTTGCTGCAACCTAATGATACCCCTGCGTCCAGTTGTGCACTCTTCTCTCAGAAGCATCTAAAGGCATCCTTCTCAGACACAAATGCCTTCACGTCACTCCCTTGCTCAAAGCTCTTTGCTGACACGCAAAATGTTCACAACTGCTGAAGCAGAGTGAAGGGTATGTGTGAGTTTCATTAAACTTTCACTTTACTTGCTTATAATTTCCTTCTGCTTGAAACTTTTTTTTTTATTCATTTGACAGAAAGAGAGAGAGTGAGCACAAGCAGGGGGAGTGGCAGGTAGGAGAAGCAGGCTCCCCACTGAGCAGGGAGCACAATGTGGTGCTCAATCCCAGGACCCTGAGATATGACCTGAGCCAAAGGCAGATGCCCAACCACCTGAGCCACCCAGGCACCCCTGCTTGAAACTGTTTAAAATTAATTGGGTTATGGGCGCCTGGGTGGCTCAGTTGGTTAAGCGACTGCCTTCAGCTCAGGTCATGATCCTGGAGTCCCGGGATCAAGTCCCGCATCAGGCTCCCTGCTCAGCAGGGAGTCTGCTTCTCCCTTTGACCCTCTTCCCTCTCGTGCTATCTCTCATTCTCTCTCTCTCAAATAAAATAAAAATAAACAAAATCTTTTAAAAAATTAAGTTAAATTAAATTAATTAGGTTTAAAAAATTATGGAAGAGCACCTGGCTGGCTCAGTCAGTGGACCATGCGACTCCTGATCTCGGGATTGTGAGTTTGAGCCCCATGTTGGGTGTAGAGATTACTTAAACATTAAAAAAATAAAAATCTTAGGGGCACCTGGGTGGCTCAGATGGTTAAGCGTCTGCCTTCGGCTCAGGTCATGATCCCAGGGTCCTGGGATCGAGCCCCGCATTGGGCTCCCTGCTCAGCGGGGGGCCTGCTTCTCCCCCTCCCTCTGCTTCTCTCCCTGCTCATGTTCTCTCTCTCTCTCTGTATCTCTGTGTCTCGAATGAATAAATAAAAAAAAAAAACTTAAAGAAATCTTTAAAAAATTATGGAAATAAAAAATGGCTCCCACTGTTCTCGGGATAGAGCTGAGAGCTCCTTGTGTTTCCCAGCACCCCTCCCTCCTGTGCCCCACCACTGCCCGTTCAGCCTCGCCCCTTAGCTGTCACGCCATTGCTCTACACACTCAGAGGTTCCCCAAGAAACATCCACACTTCTTTTTAGTACCAGGAACAGATAGAACTCTCTGGAACAGTTTTGTTTTTATTTTATGATTATGGAACGGACTAGATTTTTGTGTGGCTGCTGGAAAGCTCTGTCAAACTGGAACTGCTCCGGCCAGTGCAGTAACTGTGTATACAGGCCATTAGGGTTTCCTTCTCTCTTAGCCTCATTCTTGGCTCCATTTTATGTTCCTACTTGTTCTTTCTTCTTTTGCTTCCACCTTGATTACCTTTCTGTGGCTGTCCTAAACTCTTGCAGAAGTCTCCTGTAAGCCATGAGAATTGACCTCTCCTGGGTTTTCAGGACAGGTCTGGATCTCCCACCATGCCCTCTCCACTTGGTTTGTCTAGTCTTTTCTCAAATGTGGCGGCTCCTTAGTGAGTGTTCTGAGTGCTCCTCGTGCCAAATGAACACTCTCCCCTGACTGAGCTGGAAGCCCATCTCCCCCCCCCACCCCCGGCCCCACCCCAATGCAGTCCCTCTCTCTTAAAGTTTCCTTGGAGGAAAAGCAGATCCCTGACTGTTCTTTATAGGAGGACAAGCTGCTTTCAGTTTCCCTGGCTTCAGGAGGAAAGGTGGGGTTGAGGTTGAGAGATGCCCCTGTCATACCTGTGTCCCCTCCCCACAGACAGCCCCGGGATATGTCCCTAATGCATGGCATAGTAATGAGGCTTTACTTACAACTCACACTTTTGAGCGCTTATCCATGGGCACTTATTGGAAATAGTGTTTTAGGGGCGCCTGGATGGCGCAGTCAGTTAAGCAACTGCCTTCGGCTCAGGTCATGATCCCGGGGTCCTGGGATCGAGTCCCGCATCGGGCCCCCTGCTCGGTGGGAAGCCTGCTTCCCCCTCTCCCTCTGCCTGCCTCTCTGCCTGCTGTGCTCTCTCTCTCTCTCTGTCAAATAAATTAATAAAATCTTTTTAAAAAGTGTTTTAAGCACTTGGGATGCATTAATTCAGTCTTCAGTAATTCCATGAAGAATGTACTATTATTATTATAGTTCCACTGTAGAGATGTGAAAGCCAGGGCCCGGGGACACAGAGCTTATAGTAAGTGGCGGGACCAGGATCCAAACAGAGGCAATCTGACCTGAGAGTTTGTGCTCCTGACCACTCTGCATTTGCCTCCCAAGGTCCTCTGGTGGCTTCTGAGCTCCTGATTGGGACTCTGGCAGGCCAAAACCTCACTGCGTTCCCTCCACTACCATTCATGACCATTTCATGGGGAGACTAGGGCCAAGAACCCACGGCATCTCCCTGCTGGTGTCTCTTCCTCCAAAATGCATCTTGCCCTGCACTCTCAGGCTAGTCTTCCTGATGGCCTTGCTCTCATCACTGAGCACCCTCTGTCAGTGGCCTCAAGGGGCAACCCATCATTGTCATCAGAGGGCCCCAGAATGGGAGGATCCTGGAGGCAGAATGGTCCTGGGGGCCTACACCTTAATAGGAAATCCTCGGGCTCTCTGGTTCAACCACATCTGTCCGCTTCTCTAAGCAAATCCTTTGCCGAAGCCAGCCTACTCCATTCCTTTGTTCATAATGTGTCCCTGCCTAGAAGGCCCATCCTCCTGCTTCCTACCTAGCCAGACCCTGCCCATGCGTTAGCTCACACTCTGAATTCCACCTCCTCCAGGAAGCTTTCCCTGAACACTTGCCACTCCCAACCAGTGCTGATTTTTTTCCTCTGCTTCTGAACTTCTGTGGCACTCATGGGTACCACTGTGTTGGTATTCGATTATGAACTTTGATTTACCTTTTCCTTTGTGTGTTTTTTATTTCTCCATTTAGAACATAATCCCTTTGAGGACAAAAACCATCAGTGAGAGAGCACAGCAGGCAGAGAGGCAGGCAGAGGGAGAGGGGGAAGCAGGCTTCCCACTGAGCAGGGGGCCCGATGCGGGACTCGATCCCAGGACCCCGGGATCATGACCTGAGCCGAAGGCAGTTGCTTAACTGACTGCGCCATCCAGGCGCCCCTAAAACACTATTTCCAATAAGTGCCCATGGATAAGCGCTCAAAAGTGTGAGTTGTAAGTAAAGCCTCATTACTATGCCATGCATTAGGGACATATCCCGGGGCTGTCTGTGGGGAGGGGACACAGGTATGACAGGGGCATCTCTCAACCTCAACCCCACTTTTCCTCCTAAAGCCAGGGAAAATGAAAGCAGCTTGTCCTTCTATAAAGAACAGTCAGGGATCTGCTTTTCTTCCAAGGAAACTTTGAGAGGGACTGCACTGGGGTGGGGCCGGGCGGGGGGGGGGGGGGGGGGGATGGGCTTCCAGCTCAGTCAGGGGAGAGTGTTCATTCGGCAGGAGGAGCACTCAGAACACTCACTAAGGAGCCGCCACATTTGAGATGACAATCCATGGATTATCTAAAATTTCTTGCAGGTTTATGCACAATAAATCTCCATATGCAGGACTTATAGGACACCAGGAAGGAAGCCCTCAGGATCATAATTTGTCAGTATCTAAGGTTTGGTTTGTCTTCATAACACGACTAGAAGTCATTTTGCTTTTAAGAAGCAGTGCAGAAAACGGTCTAGATTAGTAGCTTCCTAACTTTGTGTAGTAGTGACATTCTCCCTTTAAAGGCAGGCTTCAGGGGCGCCTGGGTGGCTCTGTCAGTTAAGCAACCTATTCTTGATTTCGGCTCAGGTCATGATCCCAGGGTCATGAGATGGAGCCCCAAGTTAAGGCTCCGCTCTGCGCATGGAGCCTGCTTAAAGATTCTCTCTCTCCCTCCCCTCGCCACTTACCCCACCCCCACTCATGCTCTCTCTCAATAAATAAGTAAATAAATAAAACAGAGGCAGTCTTCATAGGAGCTCAATATGGAAAGCAGACAGGGGTGAGGTTGCTCTGGTTACACTTAAGTGGGGCTGCTCTGTGCCTCCACCCCTCCATGGTAGCTTGGAGGAAATCTTGGAGCTGAAGTATTATAGCTTAAAAATCATTAGGGAGCATCACATCTTCACATAAGAGGAATTTATAAATTTGAGTTACTGAAAGAAAAAACCGTATGTACTCATTTTATTAAA